CAACTTTGAGTTCACTTTTTTGTGCCCCGTGCACTCTGGTCGGCTTTGTATGCTTGGAACAAAGGGAAAAGTTGGTCTATTGATCATCAACGGGCGTGTACTGGTGGCATAGTTTTTCTGCAGAACTTTTGAGTGGGCCATTTTGCATCAGGAGGGCGAACAAAGTGATGAAAGCGTGCATGGTGAATCGAATCGAGCACAGAAAAATTGCTCAAAAGCCAATAAATTGATGAATTGGTGTAGCATAACTCGATTGGGAAAGTTTCCTGTGCTCTAAAAGTGGAGCCCTGGGGGTATCGGTCTTATCGGTACGCCGCTGCTGTACTATTGAAGGGCATCACACAGAAGGGATGTATTTGTGTATGGTATTTTGTAATTTTTATGCACAACGAGTGCTGCTAACTTTCAAATGAATCACTTGAATTTAGATTAACGGAATCGGTCAAACAATTTCGATCAATGCATATTTTCATCATCATCAATCAGAAAAGGCATAGACACTGTCCGATATGCGGCAGTAAAACCAGGAAATGGGTCCCGCTTAAATATGGCAGCCTGATGTCAAATCAGTGTCAAACCTATAGTCGATGTAGAAGCAATGTCAGGTTTGTGTCGGACAAATTATTTATTTGTCGTCAATCAGTGTAGACCGTTTTACAATAGTTCTGTTGCCTTACATGCTATTTAAATTCAAACGTTTTATTTGAAATTGTCAATAAATGTAAATTACATATACAAATATCTAAGAAATAAAAATTGTTTGAACTTAACGAGATGAAAGCCTAGCAGTTAGTGTTCTCCTTACTGTATCTTTAGACATCGTTAGATCTATACGCTCACAATAATTATTATAAACTCTCATCATTCTGTTGATTGGTCCATTTTTACCATAATTCGTTCTGTGAGGTGACAGTTGAAATACATTTCGAGTTCTTAACATGCGTGATGGTACGTAAAAATTTAAGCTTGCTAATATTTTTTCTGAATTTACGCGTTGTGAGATAATACCATTAACAAAGGAAATCATGGAAATTTCTCTTCGTTTCTTAAGTGTTTCAATGTTTATCAACATGCAACGGGACTCATAAGAAGGAAGGGGAATGGAGGTCCAGCCTAGTTTCCTAAGAGCAAATAACAAAAACTGTTTTTGAACTGATTCTATACGATTTACACAAGTTTCATGATATGGAGCCCAAACCACACTGCAATATTCGAGAATTGATCTCACGTAAGCTATATAAAGTGTTTTGATGGTATATGGGTCTTTAAAATGATAACTAAATCTTTTTATGAATCCCAACATATTATTTGCTTTGTGAATTGTGGTATTCACATGATCTACAAATGTCAACTTCGAGTCAAGAATTACTCCTAAGTCCCTAATTTTATCGCACCTTACAACCAGCTGGTTTCCTAGAGTACATGTAAAATCTAGAGTAGTGTTTTTTCTGGAATATGATATAATATTGCATTTTTTAACATTAATATCCAGCAGACTTTTAACGCACCAGTTGTAGAAAACATCAATTTCATTTTGAAAATGTAGCAAATCAGAATTGTCAAAGATTTCCATGTACAGTTTCATATCGTCAGCATATATGAGCACATTTAAACGATTTAACACAAACTTCACGTCATCCACAAATAAAATAAATAATAAAGGACCTAAATGAGATCACTGTGGAACTCCCGAGGTAACATTAACTGGCGAAGATATTTTTTCCTTTAAAGCGGACCATCTGTGTTCTTTCTGTCAAGTATGATCCAATCCATTTTAAAAGTGTAAAGGGCGAGCACGAAATTATTGCGACACATTCAACAGGGCATAACTTTTTTACCATTGGGTAAAAATCAACCAAATTTTGCACACTTTCTCATTGATGTGTATTGTGTACATGCTGTCAAACTCGAAGTCGTGGTTTTCGATTCAACGAAAATGGAGCGAACGCGAGTTGAGAGAACAAATTCTTTCCAAACACTTGGAATTTCCTGACCTGTCGCACCGGCAGTTGGGAAAAATGTTGAACATTCACCATTCAACCGTCTCCAGAGTGTTGAAGCGGTTCCAGGAGCGGTTGACGTTGTACCACGGCAAAGGAGCTGGAAGAAAACCGGGACCGGAGAACAAAAAGACGGAGGGAAAGGTGAAGCGGATGATTAAAGCAAATCCCAACGTCTCAAGCCTTGATTTGGCTAAAAAGATCGGCATGTCGCAGAGCTACGTCCAGAATGCAAAGAAGAGAGCTGGACTACATACATACAAGGTACAGAACTTCCCAAACCGCGATGAGCGGCAACAATCGACGGCTAAAACTCGGGCACGGAAGCTCTACGAGAAGATGCTGACAAAATATGGCTGCTGTGTGATGGACGACGAAACGTATATAAAAGCCGATTTTAAGCAAATTCCGGGGTTGGAGTTTTTCACCGGCAAGAGCAAGTTCGATGTGGACGACAAATTTAAGAAGAAGAAAATGTCGAAGTTCGCCTCCAAATATCTCATTTGGCAGGCCATCTGCTCTTGCGGACTGAGGAGTGAGCCTTTCGTGACAAAGGGCACAGTAAATGGCGAGATCTACAAATCTGAGTGCCTCGAGAAGCGCCTTTTGCCGTTCTTGCAGCAGCACGACGAAGCTCCGCTATTTTGGCCAGATTTGGCATCATGCCGCTATTCTAAAAGTGTCCTGGAGTGGTATGAGGCCAATTCTGTCCATTTTGTTCCAAAGGACACGAAATTATTGCGACACCGAAAATGTCATGCCAATTTTCTTATAATGTTTAGAATCAAACCAAAATTTTAGGGTAGTTTTATACATATATTTACTTCAAAAATCAAAAGAAAAGTTAATCGAAGGAGCCTTGAGTGTAAAATTGAACGCATTTTCGCTTGATGCTGTATGTAGTCCAGCTCTCTTCTTTGCATTCTGGACGTAGCTCTGCGACATGCCGATCTTTTTAGCCAAATCACGGCTTGAGACGTTGGGATTTGATTTAATCATCCGCTTCACCTTTCCCTCCGTCTTTTTGTTCTCCGGTCCCGGTTTTCTTCCAGCTCCTTTGCCGTGGTCCAACGTCAACCGCTCCTGGAACCGCTTCAACACTCTGGAGACGGTTGAATGGTGAATGTTCAACATTTTTCCCAACTGCCGGTGCGACAGGTCAGGAAATTCCAGGTGTTTGGAAAGAATTTGTTCTCTCAACTCGCGTTCGCTCCATTTTCGTTGAATCGAAAACCACGACTTCGAGTTTGACAGCATGTACACAATACACATTGTTCGTGAACCACGAAAGGGAAAGAAAAAAGAAAATAATACGCCATCTATCAGTGAGCGAGCGCACACACCAATCATCATATCCCCTCGTTCATCGACACCAATAGAGACCCAAAAGGGGAAAAAGGAGAACTACTATGGCGATGTACCTTCTTCCGGCCCTCCTTGATATATAAGGAACTTCATTGACATGTGTCAGCCTCTTTTACACATTGGAAAGCCCATCAAGCAGAAGAATACGTGGAAAGTGGAAATTGTATTGAATAGTGGATATTGTATTGAACGTAGAAGTATTGTACGCAAGTGTAGGCTAGTGAAATAAAATTGAAGTTTTGAATTAGTTTGAAGTGAAATAAAGAAGAACTTTTTTACACCGTTGCTACTCTCTGTGCTACTCGACATATGGTCCTTCGAACCGGATACGTCGATACTCCGTATTCCCGGTAGTCCTGTGCTAGTGAGACGCCATCATTCAACCGCCATTGAATTACGCTAGAAAGTTCCAGAAGGTTTCACGAAGTCCGTCGTATACTTACGGCCCAGAATCAACACCTATCAGCAGATTTGAACTATTCAAGGCATTTGCATTGCCTCGAGCAGGTAATTAGCATTTCAACCAACATACCTACCTGCCTGTGTGTGCTCCGCTTGTCCCATTGTCCACAGATCCACTTCTATCATCGCAATATGTCCAGCGATCGCCGTGTAAAAACTCTCAAGATGCGGCTGAAGAGCTTGATGGCATCACTCAACCTCATCAAAACCTTCGTCGATGACTTCGATGAGGGTACGCAAGCTGACGAGATTCCCGTTCGGCTAGAGAGTCTAACCAAACTTTGGTCGGACTATAATACCGTGCAGAGCGAGCTGGAGACACTCGACGAGAGCACCCTCGACGCATACCTGAAAGATCGTATGGGCCTCGAATCGTCCTACTATCGAGTCAAAGGTTTTTTGTTAGCCCACAATAAATCCCCGTTAAACCAAACCATCCCAAATAGCAGTCAATTTGAGGCACAACTCCCTCCGTCGACATCGCAGGTGCGATTGCCGGACGTAAAGCTACCAGTTTTTGATGGAAGACTCGATAATTGGCTCGTCTTCCATGATTTGTACGTCTCGCTGGTCCACTCTTCGGCTGCTCTGTCTAATATTCAGAAATTTTATTATTTGCGGTCATCCCTATCAAATACGGCCCTTCAGCTTATTCAGTCGATTCCGATAAGTGCCAATAACTACCCGGTGGCATGGAATTTACTCTTGAAGCATTTCCAGAACACGGCACGACTGAAGCAGTCATACGTGGACGCACTATTTGACTTCTCTGCGCTAAAACGTGAGTCAGCTGCGGAACTACACAACTTAGTTGAGAAATTCGAGGCCAACGTAAAGGTTCTTCAGACATTGGGGGAACAGACACAACACTGGGACATACTTCTCATCCGAATGCTTAGCATCCGCTTAGATTCAACAACAAGGAGAGACTGGGAGGAGCACTCTTCTTCTAAGGAAGTCGTCGAATTTAAGGACTTGACGGAATTTATCCAGCGACGTGTATCAGTTCTGCAATCTTTACATACAAAGATCATCGACAATCTGCCGTGTAATCAGATGAAGAAGCTAGCTCAACGTTCCGTGTCAAGCCACGGTGCCAATCAGATCAGTCCTAGAAAGTGCCTCGTTTTTTCAGATCATCATCCCCTATACTCGTGCGGGAGTTTTGCGAAGATGTCGACCGAAGACAAGGACAAGGAAGTACGTCGTCATCAGCTTTGTCGAAATTGCCTGAGAAAGGGTCACCATTCTAAGGATTGCTCATCGTCTTCCAACTGCCGCAAGTGTTGTGGTCGTCACCACACGCTACTTTGTCACGAATCATCCTCTCCATTAACTTCGAAGTCAGTCAGCCCTCAACAATCAAAACTGGTAGAAGCGTCTCAGATAACTGATTCTCCCACTACTTCTGCGTCCGCAAAAATAATCGAGTCGGTCAGCTGCTCCTCTGCTGGCCACAAACAGCGAACAGTTCTTTTGGCTACAGCGGTCATCATTCTTGTTGACGACAACGGCGTCGAACACATGGGACGTGCTCTGCTAGACTCGGGAAGCGAGTGCTGTTTTATAACGGAACGTTTCTCACAACGCATGAAGGCTCAGCGAAGAAAGATCTACCTTCCAATCAGTGGCATCGGCCAATCATCTACACAAGCCAAACAGAAGTTCACTTCCATCGTTCGTTCACGAGTTGGTGAATACAAGACCAGCGTAGAATTTCTTGTTCTTGCCAGCGTCACCATAGACCTACCATCTACGTCCGTCGACACTTCGACGTGGGACTTTCCACCTGGCATACAACTTGCCGATCCATCGTTCGATAGCACCAACCCGATCGACATCATAATCGGAGCCGAGATATTTTTCGAGTTGTTCCGAGTCCCCGGCCGAATTCCTCTTGGGGACCATCTTCCGGTGCTGGTAAATTCAGTATTTGGCTGGGTAGTTTCAGGAAAATCCACCGTTAGCACATCCAATCCTCCAGTTGTCGCGAACATCGCTACCGTCACAGACGTTCATCACCTCATGGAACGGTTTTGGAAAATCGAGGAGGACAGTTCACCTTGCACCTACTCGGTTGAAGAGCAAGCCTGCGAGCAGCATTTTTGTCAAACCGTGTCGCGTACCACAGAGGGCCGATACGTAGTTCGCTTGCCTTTCAAGGAAGCCGTTCTTGAGCAACTTACCGATAACCGTCGGACTGCTGTCCGTAGGTTTCATCTGCTACAAAGTCGTCTAATCCGGAATCCTGATCTACGCCAGCAGTACAAGGCGTTTATAGACGAGTACCTCGACCTTGATCATATGGAGCGGATACACGACTACGAAGAGCCAAACGTCAAACGCTTTTATCTGCCACATCATGCAGTGCTTCGCGAAGACAGCACAACCACGAAACTACGGGTCGTCTTCGACGCTTCGTGTAAGACTCCTACAGGGCCATCATTGAACGATGCACTAATGGTTGGGCCAACCGTTCAAGAAGACATACGGTCAATCACAATGCGTTCCCGGAAGCACCAGGTCATGATAGTCGCAGATGTTAAAATGATGTATCGCCAGGCTCTTGTCGATCCTCGAGACACGTCAGTCCAGCTCATCGTATGGAAGCCTTCTCCAGACCAGCCGATGGAAACCTACAGGTTAAAGACTGTCACGTATGGCACTGCTAGTGCACCATTTCTCGCAACGCGGGTATTAACTCAGTTGGCCAATGACGAAGGCTCTAATTTTCCTTTAGCAGCTCCAGTTTTGAGGAAAGACTTCTACGTGGACGATCTCTTTTCCGGAGGCAAAACCGCAGCGGAAGTAATCGAGCTGCGAAACCAGCTAGAAGGACTCCTAGCAAAGGGTGGTTTCCAGCTACGTAAGTGGGCCTCAAATGATGAAGCTGTCCTTGAAGGGATTCCACCTGAAAACCGTGCCGTGCAGACATCAGTAGACCTTCACCGGGACCAGGTAATCAAAACGCTCGGTCTCTACTGGGAGATATCAACTGACTGCCTGCGCTACAAAATTGAATTGCCGTCGGAATCAGCAAATCTACTCACTAAACGGCTCGCACTCTCGCTTATTGCACGCCTCTTTGATCCGCTCGGCTTAGTGGGTCCAGTTGTTACGACCGCTAAAGTGTTCATGCAAAACCTTTGGACCTTGAAGGACGAAAAGGGAGCACTTTGGAGTTGGGATCGTGAACTACCAAATGAGTACCAGACGCGATGGATCAATTATCAGTCCCTGCTGCCAAACCTGAACAATCTTCGCATCAATCGCTGCATTTTGCTACCTGAACCTGAAACCGTTCAAGTCCACATTTTTGCCGACGCCTCACAACTCGCCTACGGTGCCTGTGCTTATGTCAGGTCCACTAATACAGCTGGGTTGGTTAAAGTAGCTCTACTCTCTTCCAAATCACGGGTTGCACCTCTCAAACAACTCAGCATTCCTCGACTTGAACTGTGTGGCGCTTTAATGGCAGCAGAATTATACGAGAAAGTAAAATCATCGCTACAACTCGACGCAGAATATTATTTCTGGCTCGACAGCACCGTCGTACTGTGCTGGCTCAACGGTTCGCCTTCTGAATGGAACACCTTCGTCGCAAACCGTACTTCCAAGATTCAAATTACCACCCAGAACTGTACGTGGAATCACATTGCCGGCCTGGAGAATCCAGCAGACTGCCTATCTCGTGGGATGACTGCACATGCGATACTTAAATTCGATCTCTGGTGGCATGGGCCACAATGGTTACACCTTCATCAACGTCACTGGCCGGTAGGAGCTAGCAAATTTGATCAACCATCTGCGGCAGTTCAAGAAGCACGTCGCGCATCAGTAGCAGCACCATCAACTCCAAGCGAACCATCTTTTGTCGACCTGCTCGTCGAAAAATTTTCCAACTTCCTGTCCCTTATCCGGATAGTTGCTTACTGTCATCGTTTTATTCGAAACTGCCGAACTGCACCAAGCGAACGACCGAAAACCTCACTCCTCAACGTCGATGATCTAAATGAAGCTGAAAATAGTATCATCCGATTAGTTCAACAGCAATCGTTCAGCGAAGAATGGAAGCAGCTGAAAAACAATCAACCAGTGTCATCGAAGTCCCGTCTCAAATGGTTTCATCCCTTCGTATCTTCGGAGCAGCTGATTCGAATAGGTGGAAGGTTAGGAAACGCACTGCAACCATATGACGTCAAGCATCAAGTTCTTCTTCCTCGATCGCACCCATTTTCGCTTCTCTTGATCCGTAGCTACCACGAAAGGCATCTTCACGCCGCTACCCAATTGCTTCTAAACCTACTACGACAGCGCTACTGGGTCATCGGAGCCAGAAGCCTAGCCAAGCGAGTGATCCATAGCTGCGTTGTTTGCTTTCGAGCTCGTCCAAAAATGTTGGAGCAATTTATGGCAGAATTGCCAGCATCACGAAGCACTGCGAATCGACCCTTTTCCATCACAGGAGTGGACTACTGGGGACCCATCTTCCTCAAACCCACTCATCGACGAGCTGCACCAGGAAAGGCTTACGTGGCAGTATTTGTATGCTTCTGCACCAAAGCGGTGCATCTAGAATTGGTTTCCGACCTGACCACAGCCAAGTTCATCCAATCACTTCGTCGGTTTGTATCTCGCCGAGGATTATGTACAGACCTATACAGCGACAACGGGAGGAATTTTCTGGAAGCCGCTAATGAGTTGAAGCAATTAGTGAACAGCAAGGAGTTCCGGAATGCCATCGCTCAGGAATGCAATGCACAACAAATTAGATGGCACTTCAATCCACCCAAAGCGTCAAATTTTGGTGGTCTGTGGGAGGCTGCCATACAATCGGCTCAAAAGCACTTCATTCGAGTCCTCGGAAAAAACAGCCTTCCGTATGATGATATGGAAACCCTTTTGTGCCAAATTGAGTGTTGTTTGAATTCGCGACCACTTGTTCCACTAAGCGATGACCCATCGGACTACGAACCCTTGACACCAGGACATTTTCTTACTGGATCCCAACTAAAATCTGTTCCTGACGTCGATTACACCGGAATTCCTACAAACAGGCTCTCGAAGTGGCATCACGTCCAGAAATTGTACCAGCAGCTGTGGAAGAGGTGGCATCTGGAATATCTTTCCACTCTGCAAACTCGTTCCAAATGGCTCCATCCTCCAATCCAAGTTCGAGAAAATGAACTAGTTCTTCTTTGCGACGAAAATTGCCCTCCGATGCATTGGCGGACGGGCAGAATTCAGGCAACACATCCCGGTACCGACGGCGTCATCAGAGTGGTTACTGTCCAAACACCTAATGGTCAATTCGTCCGTCCGGTGAATAAAATCTGCCTTCTACCAGTAGCATCATCATGCGACCAACAAACAACAACCGCGAAGTAAACACATTCACCAAATAGATCGCAATAACACCTGATCCAGTACCAAACATCCAACGAGGACAGAACATCCATAATTGCACCTCACATCACCGTTGCATCATTGATCCAGGAGCACCTAAAAGAAAAGAATTAATTAAAGGCCTGCTTTCAGCAGGGACAAGACTAATGAACAATGTAATCGTTTTGACATCGCCAAACCAAAACAACGGACTTTCATCGATTCTGCAACGCACTGTCATCAGCATCGTCATCATAAGTGTCAGAAACAGCGTTCCTGACGGGGCCAGCATGTTCGTGAACCACGAAAGGGAAAGAAAAAAGAAAATAATACGCCATCTATCAGTGAGCGAGCGCACACACCAATCATCATATCCCCTCGTTCATCGACACCAATAGAGACCCAAAAGGGGAAAAAGGAGAACTACTATGGCGATGTACCTTCTTCCGGCCCTCCTTGATATATAAGGAACTTCATTGACATGTGTCAGCCTCTTTTACACATTGGAAAGCCCATCAAGCAGAAGAATACGTGGAAAGTGGAAATTGTATTGAATAGTGGATATTGTATTGAACGTAGAAGTATTGTACGCAAGTGTAGGCTAGTGAAATAAAATTGAAGTTTTGAATTAGTTTGAAGTGAAATAAAGAAGAACTTTTTTACACCGTTGCTACTCTCTGTGCTACTCGACACACATCAATGAGAAAGTGTGCAAAATTTGGTTGATTTTTACCCAATGGTAAAAAAGCTATGCCCTGTTGAATGTGTCGCAATAATTTTGTGTTCGCCCTTTAATTAATTTACCTCACTAATAAACTCTTCATTTTTCGGTCTCCAATTTTCTTGCATTGGACCGCAGCTATGTATATCGCATCTTCGGTTTATGCGGTCTCCACTTTCATCCTCTGATGATGAATCCCACATAATTGTAAGCGAATCTTACATCCACCGGTTGGGTGTATAGATGAAGAATTTGAAGCAGGGTGATGTTTTTACCTACGGGTGCGAATGTAGAATTTGTTCTTCGCTGACCGTAGTTAACAGCATAGAAATTAGTACAAGTCGCTAAGATTTTAGGATCGCTTTTCAAGTCTTACATTCTCAAAAATTGGAATTGTGGTTTTCACCAGTCGTCCTTTGTGGGAGATGAGTATTAGACTGCCAGCGAAAATGGTAATTTTTAATTTCGCTAACAAACCATGTACAAAATCAGAGTTGGTTGGAAATGCTAACATGAAGCTTTAGTGTGATAATTTATTAGCTAGAGAATGATTTTTAGAAGAGAGTAGGTGGATAGTTCCGTTAGAGTACGGCAGTATGAAAATTGAATAGAAGTTGAAAATGAGCGAAGGGCCATTAATGCGACAGTTTTTAAAGATAGACGCACATCTTTTGCCTAACCCGTACGATGTACGCGGAGACTTGAAGTATGTCTCCAAGTCTACAGGCAAAAAATGTGCGTCTCTCTTTTGCTCATAAACTGACTGCGGCTGTGGAATAGTTCTAGCGACGTTTTCATCACTACTTAAAGCCCCACGTTGCGAGAGCATTTCCAGTATATGGTGTGTTATATTGCAATTCTTCTTTACCCAACTATTGTGTTGCTCCTCTCGTCATGACCAATTTGGTCATCTCAGAGAGAAGGCAGTAGGGTGGTTGTTGCGTGCTGTACCATCATCAGCATTGTTGACGGTATATTTCCTTATTAGCTACACCAAATCAGATTTCCTGGTACTCTTATAATTTTTTCGATGATCTTCAACTAATTGTAAAATGCACTGCTTTTGATCTTCATCCGTTAATAGTTTTTTGAATTGTTTGTTTTAATCAATGCTTTACCACGCTCTGCATTATCATTAACTACTTCCAAACATTGAACCCGTCTTTTGGCATTTTTAAACTCGATGGAACTACTCCACTGCTCCATATCGACATTCAGCAACGACTTCGGAATTTGGAGAGCTTTGAATAAGTTTTCAATACCACTGCTGCCTTGTACAAACGAGTGTAGTTCAATCGTTGAAATATCGTTGGATTCAACAATGGATCTGGCTGTAATGTTTTTACGAGTATCTGTAAAAAAAAAAATCATTAGAAATTTAAATGCAAATGTATCAATAAAAGCATTTACCTGATAGAAGTAAGGCTTTGATGACCTTTTTCTTAACCGGGAGGTCTACATTTTCGTCGAACAGACATAGTCCGATAAGGCTGTTGTCCAAATATTGCAAGTGAGTTAAAATTCCTTTATGTATTGCTTTCGCCACGTCTTCATCAACAGTTTCAAATTCCTTCAATATTTTTAACAGGTTCAGATAGTTGTTGGGTGCCATCGCAGCACACGGAGAAAGAAACCAACTTTTCAAATAAATTTTTACAATGAACACACGAAATCAAGCTAGTTGATTTTTAGTTTTATCTGGTAAAGCCAATTCATTGATTTTGGCCATCCACCTTGCATTGTGGAACGCACCAGGAGCTCTTATTTGTAATTTTTCGACGATTTTCCACCCAAATATAAAATGGCAAGTTGTAGAACCTCTCGGTAATCACCACGGTGGTGTTGCTCTCTAATTTGTTTTTCATAAAACTCCAATAACGCTAATCTTTCTAT